GTATATATAATGAAATATTTTATTTATATACATATATATATATTCATTTTTTTTATCTATCTTTATCTTTATAAATAAGATACTTTAGCTTCTAATACTTTTATAAAATAGAATATTATAATTTAATTTCTATCTTTGTAACAAAATCTGAATTCAGCTTATGTTACCTTGCTAATTTTATATTTCTAAAATGATCTAATAATCTTGTTTCTAATGGATTTGATTTTTAAAAAATCAAGAACATAATTAAAAACAAAAGTGTATTTTATAGATTATTAATTTTAATTTTGATTGGTTACTTTTAAATACTAATTATTATTGATTAATCAGATTTGACATTTAAATTTTTGATGGTGCAAAACTTTTGTGAGCTATGATATAATAAGGATAATATATGTATATTCAATTTAATACAATTCAAATTTGGCTTGTATTACTTTACTAATTCTATTTGCTAAAATAGATGAATTAAAAAAAAGAAAGGATAAATAGGTAGTAATAATAATAGTAATAAATATAATAAAGATAATATAGATATATTTAATTTAATATAATCTGAGTTTGATTTATGTTATTTTGCTAATTCTATTTGTTAAAATAGAGGAATAAAAAGAGAAATAAAATAGTGAAGGTAATGAATATAATGAAGACAATATAGATATGTTTAATTTAATATACTATTAGTCTGACTTATATTACTTTATTAATTCTATTTATTAAAATAAATAAATTGAAAAAAGAAAAAGGATAGGTAAGTAATAACATTTATGTTAGTTAATATAGTAATAATAATATAGGTACATTCAATTTAACACAATTCGAGTTTGATTTGTATTATTTTGCTAATTCTATTTAATAAAATAAGTAAATCAAAAGGAAAAGAGGGTATGTAATAACAGTAATAGTGATTAATATAACAAAAACAATTTAGGTATTATTTAATTTAACACAATTTGAGTTTGACTTATATTACTTTATTAATTTTATTTATTAAAATAGACAAATTGAAAAAAGAGAAAAAACAAATAAATAGTAATAGAGATGATAATTAATATAGCAAGAACAATATAGATATATTTATTTTAATATAATCTGTATTAAATTTAAATAAATTTATTTATCTTATATATGATTATTTATTTATTTCTATATCAATATACTTTCTGCTATAGTCAATATCTTTTAAAATAACTTGATTTTTTGTATCATTTTTTTTTTATTTTTTATTATCAATATTTTAAGCACTTTTAAAGTATATTGATCTATTAATAATTGATTATATTGATACTTTATATAATATTCTTTTTTTTTACCGTTTCTCTATTTTTTTATAGTTAATGCTATATTTTTGATCAAATTTTGGAACAACTTATAAGTTATATCTTTCATTGGCAATACTATAGTACCATGTAATTTATTCTTTAACTAGTAATAAAAAGTATTTTTTAGTAAAAATTGTATCAATTTTAATTTATTAATAACTTAAATTTTTAAAAATTTTTAATGTTTAAAAAATATCAATCATTTCAACTTTAATTTCTTATTTAACCATATAAAAGTTGTCTCAAATTGAAATCAAACTTAATTAAAATCTGATCCAATTCGATCCATTGTAATTACTGTTACAATATTAATTTTTTTACTAAATTTTTTGCTACAGTATATAAAAAAAATTTTTTTTTATTATAATATATAAATTTTTTATTCAGTATATTAAGTTTTTTTTTACAATATTATACTACAGTATACCAAAATTTATTTGTTAATATTTGTCAATATTTTTAATATTAAATGATAGTAATAGAAAATAATTTATCAATGTTTTATTAAATTTAATCAAATTTAACAATAATTTCAACTAGTAATAAATAGTTTTAAAGAATAGTTAATAAATAATTAACAAATTATTAATAAACCATTAATAAATAGATCTATGAATCTATAGTACAGTGATAGTGCTCCCAGGTTACAATTACAAGATCCAGAGTTCAATACTGCTTAAGGGCTGAGTGAAAAAATATCACATGTAATGAAAATGATTTTATTGGATAACAAGTTATCATTTATTATTATATACAATCTTGGTTATCTTACTAATACCTAAAATAGAAGGATCTGCTATAATATAGCATTATTTATAACTAATCTCTATCAGATCAAGCTAATTTATGAGTATTATAAATGATCAGTATCTTATTATTATCATAATAAGGTAAAAGAGAATAGGATTAATCTTATGATTAACTGGGACAGAACCTGGATTGGCAAAGATACTCTGATGATCTTATTGATTGATAAAGAAGTTATCAAGTCAAGAAGGTTAAAGTCTTAAAGAAAATAAACATTGTATCAGTGAAATGTATAAAAGCATAGCCAAACTTGTCTATGATATATTATTAAAAGACCTTGATAGGAAAAAAAATCTGTAGATTACACTGAAGTCTCAAAACTGGAGATAGGTTAGAGTATATATAATGGTTTGATAACTAGATTACTTTGTAAAATTATTCTAAGAAAAATTAAGAAAGCATCATATATACTTTTCAAAAGAAAAACTATATAATTAAATAGATTGATCTAATATATTATATATAGAATAGTTTAATTACTTACCATAATAGATAGTATATAGTTTATATTATCTTGTAAATCAAATGTATATAAAGATATATTAATTATAAAAAGTTAATAAAGAATATAGAAAGTATATAAAGGAGGTTATTTCCTTATTCCAGTTAAGCAATAAGACTAAAAAGTAGAGGAATATAAAATTTCACCCTTCTCTAGAATTGAAAATGTATTTTTTCAGATATTGTATAATAATATCATAATCAAGATAAATATCAATAAAATTCCTTTAACTAGGTATAGCTACTAGAAGATATCAGGAGTTATATAATAAGACTAAAAAGTTACATGAGAACCTGGAGTCTACTATTAGTTGTTTTGTTTTATGTGAGTGGATATAAAATCAAGATAAAAAAAAAAGGAAATATTAAGTAAGACACTGAATTCAAGTAGGTAATAAGTACTTTAGACAATTACAAGAAAATAATTAAGATCACAGATAGATAAGTTTCTTATATAGTCAGAAAGAAGAAAAATATTTTAGAAGTGTTGATTTCTAATAAAAAAGATTTCTAACAGAGGTTTTTTGTAGGATACGAAGCACTTTTATTTTTTCTTTTTTCTTTTCATATTTATGTAACACAATTGCGTATTTTTAGATATATTCTTTCTTTTTATTTTCTCTTTTTCCTTTTGCAATTTCTCAAAATTAATTCTTTAGAGGATAATAAGCAGCAATAATCTGCTAGTAATAATATATAAATTAGGAGGGTATTTATTCAAAATCTATTATAGAGCAAAATATTGTCCATAGGGTCATACTTAGAAGCTGAAACTTTTTTGAAAATTGAAAGCCATTGATAAGTGAATTAGCATGAGTTTTAGTTTAGCTATAATGCAATTGTTCTATATATCTCTATTAATTTTTATATTGATTAATAAATACATAGTGCTGGTCTAACCACAGGTTTAAAAAATAAATAAATAAACTATTAACAAATTTTTGACAAAATATTAATAATTTATTAATAAATTTTTGATAAATTGATAAAAAAATTTTTGTTAAATTTTTAATAATTTTCAATATATTTTTGTTAAATAGATAATAAATTATTTAATGAATTATTAATAAATTTTTTGATAAATTGTTAATAAATTATAAATATATTAGTTTTTATAATATTTATAATTAAATTATATAGTTTCTAATTTATTTATAATATTAATTTATTAAATTGTTTATTTTTTATCAAATATTATATAAGTAACAATATGATGAATAATTTTTTTAACTAGTATTTATAGTAATTTTTCAAAAATTGATTTCTTGAAAAATAATAAATAGCAACAACCTACTAACAATAATATTCATATTAGAAAAATATTTACTCAAAATTTATTATAGAACAAAATATTGCTTTTAAAATTATACTTAGAGATCAAACTTTTTTGAAAATTGAAAGTAATTAATAAATAAGTTAATATAAGATTTAGTTTAGCTGTAATATAATTGTCTAATATATTTTTATTTACTTTTTTAATAATTTATAAATATATTATACTGGCCTGACTATAGATATGAAAATATAAATAAATATATTATACTGGTCTGACTATAAGTATTAAAATATAAATAAATAAATATGTATTTTTAATTAATAATTTATCAATTTAATATGGTTATAAATTATTTACAAAAAATAAATAAATAAAATAAAGTAAATAAAATTTTTTAAAAATAAAAAAAAACAAAAAATACAAAAATAAATAAGTTTAAAAAAGTAAAAAAAAATTATATTGCTTAATCTTTTTAATAATTTATTCTTTCATAAAAAGCAAAAGCAAATTAAGTTAAATTTTTTCTTAAAATTTTTTTATCAGATAATCTAAATATTTTGAATCTATTTTAATTACAAGAAATTAAAATTTTTAATATTAGAAAAAACAATACCAACTCTTGAAAATTTCTTTCAAGTAATTTTAATAAAAATATTAACAGGTTTCTTGTAGGTATCTTTTTTGTAAAGGTAATCAAAGATTTAACAAAAAGAGCTTTATGTAATTAGTATATATTTAAATTTTAAATTTTTTAGAGATGCATAAATTTATATATAGTTTAACAGCTTAATAAAGCACATGTAACTAATATGAAAATTAATTGCAACCATCAATTATTTATAAATTCATTTCAAAGAGTATTCATTTTAAAAAAAAAAGTACAGGATTCAATTTGCGCTTAATATACTGTAATTATAGTGAATCACATAACCATTTTTACATAATTTTTCATAAAGCTTAAAATTCAGATATAATATTTACTTTGAATAATCGAGTTTTTTGTTTTTTTATTTTATTTTATTTTTTTTTTTTACTATATTATTTCAAACCTTTTCTCAGTATTTCGGCAGCTTTGAACGTTTCTTTATATTCACTCAACTCAAAAGCCATTCGTCAAAACATTTCTTAATCTCATGAATGCTAGGACGGTCTGATGGGTTAGCACTCCAACATCTTTTCATTAAATCGGCAAAAATGGGTGGGGTATCTTCAGTTAATTCTGGTCGGAGTCCTTGTTTAATATCTAACACTAACGAACTCTTATGTCTATCGTTAAACGGCCTATAACCTGACGTAAATTCCCACATCATCATTCCAAAGCTATATACGTCGGATGCTTGGGTAAATAAGAAATTCTCAAAAACTTCAGGTGCCACGTGGGGTAAGTTTTCATGCTTATAAGCCGGAGAAATTTTTCCCCACAGGCCTAGATCAGCTATTTTAACAGGCCCCGATATCCCGCTATCTCCCAATAAAATATTTCCAGAATGAATATTACCATGAATCAACCTATTCGTGTGTATATTATAAAGTCTAAAATAAATAAAATCAAATTAGTTCAAACTCATTATTCATAAGATAGTCAGTAATATATATTTACCCAGTTGCGATTTGCTGTAATTTCGCTATTTTTTCTTCCCATGTGATTTTTTCAAAATTCTTTGATAGATATTGACGAAGGCTTTCATTTTCTGTGTATTCCATTACTATAAAATAACCATTGATCTTTTCTATTTTGGTTATTCCAAAATATTTGATAGTAAATTCTTCGGCATTTGCAAGTTTATCAGATATGAACTACATTCGGGTGATTGAATTAAACATAAGATCAGTTCAAAATATGCTTCTATAACAAATTTAATTGGTTTAACTCACATCTTTTAAGAAATTCATGTTCGTTGGGTAAAGGATTTTAAGCATTACTTTAATGCATCCTCTCGATTCTTGATTCCATACGGCTTTATATATTTTGCAAAGTCCTTTTTGAGTTATATTTTCAACATTTTGGAACTGAGAGTATGGGATCCATTTATTTCCATCTTCGGAGAATCTTAAGTACCACCGAAATGCACTTACATCATCTTTTGTTGTTCCGATTCCGTATTCGTAACAATTCCCGAGGCGATACTTTCCATTAATGTTTCCGCCTTTAGCAGATTCCAAATACCATCGAAATGCCTCTGATTCATTCTTTTTTGTTCCAACCCCACACTGGTAACAGCGTCCGGCACAATACTTTCCCTCGTTATATCCACTTCTGGCCGACTTCAAGTACCAATAAAATCCTTTTTCTTTGTTTTCTATTGTCCCGATTCCATTTAAATAGCAATATCCAAGATTAAATTGTCCCATGCAATTCCCGCCTTCAGCTGATTTTAAGTACCAATGAAACGCTTTCTTTTCATTTTTTACCGTACCAATTCCACTTTGATAACAATACCCTAGATGGAACTGTCCCATGTGATCTCCACCTTCAGCGGATCTCAAGTACCATTGGAATCCTTTCTCCTCGTCTTTCTTGGTTCCAATCCCATTTAAGTAATAAAATCCTACATTGCACTGTCCACTACTATTCCCGTCTTCTGCTGATCTTAAGAACCACTGAAATGCTTTCTCGCTGTCTTTTGTAACTCCAATTCCGTAGTGATAAAAACACCCGACGAAAAATTTTCCACGAGTATTTCCATTCTCGGCAGATTTTAGATGCCAATAAAAAGATTTTTTATTATCTTTTACGGTTCCGACCCCATTTTGATAACAAATCGCAAGATTTAGCTGTCCTTGGCAATCTCCTCCTTCGGCAGACTTCAAATACCAATTGAACGCCTTCTCAACATCCTTTGTGGTGCCAAGCCCATCGCGATAGCAATTTCCGGTACTATTTTGCCCACTCAAAATTCCCCCTTCAGAAGATTTTAAAAACCAGCTAAAAGCTTTTTCGTAATCTCTGTCTGTTCCAATTCCATATTTATAACAACGTCCAAGATCATTCTGTGCAAAGTGACATCCACTTTCGGCGGATCTTAAGTACCATTCAAACGCCTTTCTGTCATTTTTTGCAGTTCCAACGCCTTTTCGATAACACCTTGCAAGATGGTATTGGCTGACGCTATCTCCTCTTTCAGCATGTCTCAAATACCATTGAAATGTCTTTTCCCCATCTTTTGTTGTGTCAATATCGATATTGCATTGTTCTATATTATTATTGCCTTCGAAAGACCTTAGGTACCACTGCCTTGCCTTCTCTTCATCTTTTTCTGTTCCAATTCCTTTTTGATAAAGATACACAAGTGTTCTTTGTCCTATGATATTCCCCCCCTCGGCGGATTTCAAGTACCAATAAAATGCCTTCTCGTCATCTCTTATAGTTCCAATCTCATTTTTATAGCAATACCCCGTATTGCATTGTCCCGAATGATTTCCACCTTCAGCTGATTTCAAGTACCAGTAAAATGCCTTTTCTTCATCTTTAACGGTCCCGATTCCATTCTGATAAGAATACCCAAGATTAAACTGTCCAGCGCTATCCCCATTTCCGGCACATTCCAAGTAACAGGAAAATGACTTGTCGTTATCTTTTTCTGTTCCAATTCCAAAATAATAACAGTCACCAAGTTTGCATAAGGCATCAATATTTCCACGTTCCGCCGATTTCAGATACCACTGAAATGCCTTCTCATATTCCGGCACTTCAATTTCGTGTTCGTAAAAGTATCCCAAATTAAATTGTCCAACAGCATTTCCTCCCTCGGCGGATTTTAAATACCACTTGAAAGCTTCATCATTATCTTTTGTAGTCCCGATTCCTTTTTGGTAACAATATCCAGTGTTACACTGCCCTGAGTGGTTCTCGCCTTTAGCAGATTTTAAATACCATTTAAATGCCTTTTCATCATCTTTTTCGGTCCCAATTCCATTTTGGTAACAATAACCGACATTGCATTGCCCAGAGGTATCTCCGTTTTTTGCAGATCTTAAATACCAATAAAATGCTTTTTTGTCGTTTTTTGCAGTTCCAATTCCATTTTGATAACAACGACCAAGTTCATTTTGACCCTTACTGTATCCACCCTTAGCAGATTTCAAATACCAATGGAATGTTATTTTTTCATTTCCCGTATCCTCGGTTCCTATTCCATTTTGATAAAAATATCCAACTTTGTACTGCCCAGCGATGTCTCCGTCTTCGGCAGATTTTGAGTACCAATAGAATGCCCCCTTGTTATCTTTTGTAGTCCCAATTCCATTCTCATAAAAATATGCAAGATTATATTTCCCGACTCTATTTCCACCGTTAGCGGATTTCAAATACCACTGAAATGCTTTGACATCATCCTTTTCGGTTCCGATTCCAGAGTGACAACAATCTCCGACTTTATATTGTGCATCGGTATTTCCACCTTCAGCGGACATCATATACCACTGGAACGCCATTTCATAGTTATTTTTCATTTCACTGCTATCAGAATCGCTTTCATCACATTCAATTCCTATTCCATACTCGAAGCAGCACCCTACATTAAATTGCCCTTCGATATTTCCACCCTTGGCAGATTTCAAGTACCATTCGAATGCTTTCTCCTCGTCCTTTGCGGTCCCGATTCCGTATTGATAACAACGCCCAAGATAATTTTGACCAATAATATCACCACCTTCGGCAGATTTGGAGTACCACTGAAAAGCTTCTCCTTCGTCCTTTTCTACTCCCGTTCCATTTTGATAACAATTACCAACATTACGTTGTCCTGCGTGGTTACCACCTTCGGCAGATTTTAAATACCACGTAAATGCTTCGTCGTTATCTTGTGTGGTTCCAATTCCGTTTTGATAACAATACCCGACCTTATTTTGCCCATCTGAATTTCCACCTCCAGCAGACTTCGAATACCATTGAAATGCTTTTTCGTTGTTTTTTATGGTTCCAATTCCTTCCTCATAGCACCAACCAAGATTGAATTGACCCTGATGATCGCCGCCATCTGCGGACTTTAAGTACCACCGAAAGGTCTGTTCATCATCCTTCGGCGTTCCAATTCCGTCTCGATAGCAACGTCCAACGTTACGCTGTCCCACACAATTTTCCTTTTTGGCCGACTTCAAATAACAATTGAATGCATTCGTGTCATCTTTCATAGTCCCGATCCCGTATTCATAGCAGTATCCAAGGCTGACCTGCCCTAAAGGATCTTCATTTTCAGCAGATTTATGATACCAAAAAAACGCTTCCTGTTCGTCCTTCATGATTTCAATTCCATATCTGTAATAATCTCCAAGATTTAATTGAGCCTTACTATTTCCGCCTTGAGCTGACTTTGAGTACCATTGAAACGCTTTATATTCATCTTTTATGGTTCCTATTCCATTTTGATAACAACATCCGAGATTATACTGTCCTAAATGGCAACCTCCTTTAGCAGATTTCAAGTACCATTGAAACGCTTTTTGATTATCTTTTGCAACCACAATTCCATTTTGATAATGACAACCAACTCTATTTTGCGTAGTGCTATCACCATTCTCGGCAGATTTCAAGAGCCATTGGAACGCTGCCTCGTCATCTTTTATGGTTCCGATACCGTTTTTATAAAAATGAGTAACTTTATGCATTCCGAGAAGATTCCCGTCTTTGGAAGATTCGAGGTACCATTTGAATGCCTTCGTGACATCATTTTCTGTTCCAATTCCATGTTCATAGCAGTGTCCAATGTAGTATTTACCGTTACTACTTCCATTATCCGCGGACTTCGAGTACCAATGAAACGCTTTCTTGTTATCTCTTTTGGTTCCGATTCCATTTAGATAGCAGTTTCCAAGGCTACATTGTCCGCCGACATCTCCACCTTTGGCAGACTTCGTGTACCACTTAAATGCCATCTTTTCATCTTTTGCAGTTCCAATACCGTCTCGGTAACAGCATCCAAGGTGAAACTGCCCTAGATGATTACCCCCCTCGGCTGATTTTTGATACCAATAAAATGCTTTATCTTCATTTTTCGTGGTTCCAATTCCATGTTGATAACAGTACCCGAGGTTATTTTTCCCCAAATGATCTCCATCATCGGCTAATTTCTTGTTTCGTTGAAAGATGTTCTCGTCTTTTTGAGTATCGCTTCGTTCAGGGTTATTTCTTGCGTCTTCATGTATTTCAAATCCGAATAGTTCCTCAGGCTCACTACTATGCGTAATGGATTCCATGTTCAATTATATTCATTGGTGTGAAAGTGCATAGTGACCATTGCATTCGTAAGATATTTGGAAAAATTTCTGATCGTAAATCGAATTTTAAATGCATCTCCATGGTTACACAATAAATGCGCGTGCTCTGGTTCGGAGCATACTGACCATGCTCCATTAAACTATCACGGATACACAGATGTTATGTTTTCGTGTAAACTCGGAGGTAATTGCACGATGTATACGTACGTGCTACGCACGTATTCTAATCATTAGGCTGCTTTTGATAATTGTATCTTTAACACGCATCGCAAAAACGCCTAATTTTTTTTTTTTTTTTTTTTTGTTATTCGTGATCCTTACTTAATTTATCATTTCATATAATATATAATTTCAAGTGACGTCTTGTCAATCTGACTTACTGTAATTGGCAGTCAACTTCCTTTTTGTTGCATAATTTCATATCTTGCTTGAATAATAGCAATACAGCATTATCAGGAAGTTCCGCGAACAATGGTCAGTTTCATTTTTGCAAGTGCTCTAAATGAACAACCATAACTTTTTATCGGGTCGCACAGATAACCATGTTTATCATTTCTTTAAAATAGTAATTCCACCGCAAAAATTTTTAAATGCATGTTTATCGATTACAGCACAATACAATATGCAATCTTAATGCTTCTCACCAATGACCTTGTACATTACGGTGATAAATATAATTTCTTTTTCCATTATATAATTTGACAAAGGATTTTCAAATTTGGAAATTAGTGTATAATCATGTTTGTTATAATCTTAATTTCGACTATTTCTATTTTCGTTAATAAAAAATTTCGAGAAAAATCCTTACAACAATCCATTCTCACCTTTTTTATCTTGGCAATAAACATTTATGCGAAAATTTATTCACATACTGCAAATTTACATTTGCAATTTCACCAACCGTGTTAAGTTCAATATCAAAATAAAAGTTTTTAAAAATATTCCCGTTAACAGTTGACCATTCGAAGTTGAAGAAAATGGAAAGAATTAAAAAAATAAATTCCTAAAATATTTATTAAATTTGATTTTTAATATATATATTGATTTTTCGTTGAATAAATATGAATCGATTTTTTTTTTTTTTTTTGGCAATTGTTGTTGAATACTTAAAATCAATTAAATGACAAATGACGATTCATTTCTTATTTTTTAATGAAATTTCTATGAACTAGTTGAATAAAAACTTTTTTTAAAGTTATTTTCTATATATTTGATCTGTTTTCATATTCATTTTAATTTTAATTTTTTTTTAAAAGAATAAACTTTATTTTTAGGATTTTGAAATTTATAACGGAAAAATTGCAAAATGTATTACTTTTATACAGCATATGCATTACATTTCCTTTAATATAAATTCTATTTGAGATTATATTAGTTTTCTTAAAAACAAAGTTCATTAAAAAAATCAATTATCTAGGATAAATATTACTTTATAAATGCAAATTTGATATCTTTAAATTATGTTTGACTTTATTTAAAAAATAGAATAATAATAATAAAAAAAATTTTTTTATTATTTTAATTAATTAATATTAATTGAGATAATAAAATTTATTTTTATTAAGCAAATTTAATTTTATTAAATAATTAACAATATTTACTAAAAAAAACTTTTATTGCATTGTTTAATTAATAGTAATGGAATAGTCGATTATTTTGATTGATAAAATTTTTCCCTTCAAGCAATTAACATTATCATTAACAATTTCTTGATTGCTTAAAATTTTCTATTGATTATTCTTATTTTAAATTTATTCCAATGCAAGATATAAATTGTTTTTTGCCATCAGCATTTTCGATAACGACTTGAAAATAAAACAAGGCTCTTTAATAAATTTTAATTGTTTTTTAAATAGTTTTCAATATATTGCCTCGCTTGTTAAGTGTATCATTAATATGAAAAAGAATAATTAGGTCGACAAATTAATTGTTCTCATATGATTAAATAATCGCATAACATTTTTTCAAAAAATAATATCGAGTCAACTTTTTACAAATTCCTATATATTATATGCAGTATATTATCAAATTTGGGGATCACTGTAATTTGCTTGAGAAATCATGGTTCACATTATACTTCAAACAATCAATTTATTGGTGCACATTATTCTTAAAATTAAACAGCATATTGTGCATAAAGGATTATGGCATAGTTTACTTTAAAAAAATGAAGGAAGCCTATCGAATTAAGATGATTAAATACACTTAATAAAAAAAATCATTAGTTTCCTTTTTCCTTTTTTCTTAACGAACTTTTTAAATGAATTTAAGTAAAACGTGAACACATTCTTTGTTATCCACCATCTATTATTATGTGCGGTGCATGGAATTTGAATATGCACGAAATTAATTTCAACCATTTGTTACAGGTTACAAAGGGCGAATGATATTTTTGGAAAAAGTATTTTTTTGAATGCAAGAATTAAAAAGATTAAAGAAGTCCGATTGCTATATGACAGTAAGCGGGCGAATCGGTCCCAAGTGAACTAAAAACAAAAAAAAAAATATAATAATAATAATCTAATCGATGAAGAAACCTATTAAGTAATATACAACATTTTGATAAATAACATAACGGTAGTATTGCAATTCCAGGCCCAATAATAACCGAAGCCGTGAAGTAATATAAAAATAGGTTGTGATTTTGTCTATGTAATATTATTATGCAGATGTACAATATATTCGTATTATGTAATTGTGATTGAATAGGTTGAATCGACCAACCTTTTACAAATAAAGGGGGAGACGTTTCGATAAAAGAGAGACCGTAACAGAAAAGATCAAGCTTTTCCTTATAAGTAGTAGTGGCGATGGCATGGCTTGATTGGTCGATGCTTTCTGATTTTGGAAATAATAATTAAAGACCGCTATACCAAATTAGACATAGGCCCAGACATTTCTCCATGATATCGAATACGAGAAATGGGCAACAGGCCTAGTCTCTTTCGCCAAATTCGACAATTACATGACCCAACTCTCTCATCAATAATGCTCGGTAATTTCCTGCGATCTGTTTTTTGATTTCCAGACCTCTTCCTCTCACGTACTTTTTCAGAACGTGAATGTGTTGCCACACGCTTCCATAACTAATATATTCCAATGTTGTCAAGTCCGCATTGCAATCCCTGAGGAATACTTCGATGCAGTGAGCCGTAAATGCGCAATCCGTTTTCAACACAAATTTCTTTAATGTCACCGGGACGATTTCCCGTAAGCCATCTAACAAGTCATCGTTCGTATCGTGGACAAATGCGTAAAGATCCGGTAGTGACCCGTAAATTTTCAGCGTTTCCAAATTCCGGCATGAACGGAAAAGTGTTACTAATTGTGAGAGCTTGTCCTTTTTTATGTGGGCTTTGAGGTGAGTTATGTTAGGACAATGGTTTGATATGCTATCCAGTATCCTCGACGATCTATTGCCAATTCCAACACCCTCTATGTGCGCACTCCTTAGATCAATGTTTGCGCATTTAAAGATGACCTCCAGTGATTCGCCGGGCAGATATGTTCCCTGCAAATCAATACTATTGAGATGGGGAAATACCGGAGCCGGAAATCTAGGAGTAAGTTTGCTGTGCAATTCTCCGCATTGAATTAATTTGAGCGTCATTAGTTCGGTGCACGAGATGGACAAAGTCTCCAGAGGTGCGCATTTTGAAAAATCACAAAATCGGAATTCCAGGTACTGAAGTTTTTCGCCGTGTGCGGTTAGTGCGTGAATGATTTGCGGTAGTTGATCTTTCATGCCATCCCAAAGAGTGAACACGCAAAGCTGGCGTTGGTTTTGAATCAAATTTGCCAATGATTCACTCGTGGGATTATCACTTATTCCATAAATGGATAAGAACTCGATACCTTTACACCATTGAGAGAGAGCATCATAGAGTTCTCGTTTATTCGCATTGCCACGACAAATGAATTTTCGTAGATAACGTAAAGAACTGTGAGCACCCGGGAACCTCGATATTAACCAATACTCTGGTGAAATCGAGTGTTCCACATCCAGAGCAAAATAATCGATCGTCGGAGACATCCTAATCAGGTGCTTTATGAGTTCTCTGGTGATGTGCAATTTACAACATTCGTCGTTCTCCTTTCCGGGGAATCGGTCAAATTTAATCGATGCCCGCTTGCTTAGAGTCTGGAGAACATACCAATTGCCCACGGCATGGTAAACTTGATAAAAATCGAGACCTCGCAAGAAATAACGCATTCCCGCATCGATAAATTTACTCTTTGTATGCAAAGGATAGATCAGGCGCATGATTCTGCTGGCAAGATTCCAAACGAAAAAATTTTTTTCCGAGTTCAACGTTTACATAAATACGTAATGCGTAAACAAAAGGTAATGTGGAAAGAACACGCGTTAAAGTGCATAGGTGGGATTGGCTGTTCATACGGAATCTGCAAGTTCATTGGTTTCCCTTTTTTGTGAAACCGATATTAACAAACACAACCAAATCGGAATGCTTCCTAATTTACGGGTTTAAAAATTGACGCACGTACATATATTTTAAGTTGAGAGGCTTTTTTACCTTTGATATTTCAACAACAAAAAAAAAAATGCCAAAGGGTCAACCGAGTTGGAACAACAATTGACCAGACAGAAGGTTTCGCCCTCTTTAATTCTCTGAATG